CTGGCTGATGCCAAACTCCGCAACTGACTGTAGTATTTCTCTTACTTGGGTTAAGAGGCTGCTAGAACTGTCCCAGGGCTATGTTTTGGCTGAATGTACGTTACTGTACCCAGAAATACAGCTCCCCACTGCCCAAGACTGGTTCCTGCATCTGAAACTGGCTCACCCTGTTACAACCAAAGGATAAGGCACTATACAACAGACCCAACCCTGCTCCTCGCATTTTCACACCAGTCTTCAACTGTGTTAAATATTTTCATTGCTATGAGAATCAAGATGAAATATTATCTTTAGTCAGAAGTTTAACTGCAAGTCAAGACTGAGTAGTGCCAGCCTCTATCCGTGCTTAACCAGACTCACACTCTACAATACAGCCCTTGGCTACATCTTAGTTTTCTAATATGCCTTCTCAACTTCTGTATTACTCCTCTACCCTAGAAATGAAGCTTTAACCAGCTGCATGTTGGGAGCCAGCCTGATTAGCCAGGAACACTCCCAATTTAAGAGCTACATGGCTCTCAGATCTCCCTCCAGATCAGCTTTGTTTAAGCTGCCCATTTTCACAGGGGCATGGCCTGCTCCTGACACTATTCAGCAGTTAGAGCTTCTTCCACTTCCATAAAGCCCTAAGCATCCTCTACATCCAGCAGCCTACATGCAAGTTGAAGCTATGTAAGCAACTCACCCCAGCAACAATGCTGGGAAGAGCTGAGATGGCTGAACAGGAACCAGCCACAGGGCTTGCATGCTACTGCAAAGGGGGTTGGATTTTTTTTTTTAAGGGGGTGCATGGAAAAAAAGGACAGGAATGTTAGTCTGCAGAAATACCAATGCATGACAAGACCCTTCTTTAAGCTATCTTCAATCTTCATTCCTCAAGAAGGGACTGCTGTAATGGATTAAGTTCAACTGGCTCAAAAACAGCAGAGGCCACAGATGGCCTTCCCCTCCTTGTCACTTTAACACACCATTCTTGGCAGCCCACACCAACTCAAGAGAAGAGCTCACACTGCAGCCTACTACATTAGTAGATCAGAAAAAAAATCCCTACAGGAGAGCAGGAAGAACCAGAGTTTGCTCTTCCTTTCATTCCCCAGATCACTACTTGCTGAAGACAGCAAGTTAGGGCTTACTTAGCTGCAGCAAGTGGATAACATTGAGCTTTATTGCTTTTTCTGATGAGCTGGATGCAGGAAGGGCAGTAAGTGGGGGGGTCCAACAGCTGAAGGGCTTCTATGATAGGTGGGTTGAAACAGGTACACCAACAAGCTGCTGTTACCTTCCCAGGCTGCCTGGATGCAGCAGTAACCCAGCACTGGCATCTGGCCTGCATATCAAAGAGGTTAATCTTAGCATTGTCTGATGAATGCCAAGACATCTTCCCATTCTCTATCCTGTGTACCTTGCTCCATAATCATTACTTCCAACCTCCAGCTGTATAAATTGGTTTTTGCTCTCCAGGCAGGGTGGTTGCATGCAGAGAGCTAAACCCTGAATGTGCACTGACAGATACAGACCCACCCTCACCAACAGCCACAGGCAACAGTGCTGCAAGCTGTTCACATTGAATTGGTTTTTGACCCAAGCTGTGATGTTTGAAGCTAGGCAGCACTACCAGCAGCAGGCTAGTTCTGCAACAGCAGATGCTTTAAGATTAGTGCATGTCCTGTGGGGACCTTGGAAGGTCACATTCTTAAGTGCTAATCTACCTTCTACCTATCTTCTGTGTGCCCCCGGATTGCACACTGTATGAAAGAAACAGTGGTAGAAGCTGCTTGAGCAACAGCTGAGGGGAGCCAGCAAGCAGCTCCTGTGCTCTGTCTCCTAGGTTTCAACCAAGGACACCGCCAGGACCTTGCAGAAGATGGGATGCGACAGACTCACTTCAGGAAACTATATCTGCCAAATTTAGCCATGTCCAAGGAACATAACCATCTGACCAGACCTGTTATGGCAAAGGAATTCCTACTCTAACATCAGTAAGAGGAACATGATCACTTTTAACATGTACAAGAGTGCTCTATCAAGAGACTTGCATGGTGGTGCTGAGTAGGCAGATTGAACTAAATTATTGCCTATGTTTGGACCCCAAAAAGCTCTACAGAGAGAGCTGGAGTGTTAAACAAGTTTGCTAAAGAGACACCAACTCTGGACATGAACAATATACTTGTCCCAGACAAATGGGTCTAGTCTTCTGCTGTGTCCTGTCCCCATATCCTATAATCCCTTTATAGGATTTCCCTGGCTAGCAAGAGTAAATAGAACCAGCCTCTCTGCTGAGTCAGTGTAGAAAGTTATTCAGGTTACCCAGCTAATCTTTCCGGAGTCCACTAGAGAAGAGGATAAGTTCACCTAGAGAGAGTTTCAAAGCAACTCATGTTTGTCTGTGCAGTTTGATTTTTTTTTAAACAACAGTTTTGCATTCAAGTAAGGCAGGCAAATATATCGATGCAATTAACTGCAGGCAGTCTGGCACAGATGGTCCCTAAGAAACAGAGCCAGCTGAACAAGAGTTCATATTTAATGATGAGCCAGGCCCTCAGTGAGGCAAGTCAGCAAGCCCCAAGCAAGGCAGTGGAGAGCAGCTGATGCCACTCAGCTCCTTGCATTTCCCTCACCAGTCAGCAAGACATAGCATCCCTGCAGAGAGGCAGGGTTAGGGACTCTACAGTCTGCCCACAACAGCCATGATGTCGGACCTCTCATTCCCCAAGAGGCTCCCTGGGCTGGAGCTCAGTATAGCCTTCATAATAAGTTTCTCCCTAGGAAAGCTCTCTAAGACATTTTGGCAGTAAAACTGAACACTAGGTCCTACAACTTTGAGGGAGAGAAAATGGCAACTTGACTTTCAAGGGTCACTCCACTATGTGGCTATGGTACCCCCCAATTGCCATTAGGCAAAGAAAGGCATTAGAAAACAGAATTGCTGCTTAAAAGCTTCCTTTGTGCTTAACTGGGGCAGTAACATCCCCCGGCAGAAAGTTTGTCCCCACGTGGGACTTGCCCTGTTTTATAAGGCATGGATTGGTGGCACCAGTGATTTCTCACACTTGGGAAGATTCTGGCTCCCCACACTAGGAAGTCCAAGCTGATGAGAAGATATTTAGATCACAAAAGCTGTTGCCAGAAACAAGAGCCAGTTGCCAAAAGCCACAGAGCACACACTAGAGAGCACCATGTCCCTTGGATGACAGGCACCTGCAGAGCCATATACAAGAGCCAAGAGACCCACAGCCTTCCAGCTAAGAATCACTATTAACGAAACCTACTCCTTGCTACAGCCTGCATTTGCCCTTTAAGGCGCTCAGGGCATATTCAGGACCAGAAGAGAAAGGCCTATGGTTACATAAGAGAATTATGTAGGACCTCCAAAGAGTTACAGTGGTCTTACATCAGAGCAGAAGGACATGCCTTTTAAATCCCTGTGCAGAAAGCCTTGTAACTAGGGAGAGAGACCAACACTCAGTTGAAATAGAAATCCTTCCTATCTTCTGGTGCAGAAGGCCAGGCAAGCCAGGCCTCTAAAGGAGATCCCAGAGGGCTCAGAAGCAGCTCAGCCTCCAGTATCATACCCTTCTTGCTAAGCAGGGACCTTATTGCCCAACACAAGAGATCATTCTTCCTTCCTACATCCCTGCTCCCTCCTCCCCTACCTCACCACTCCCCCACCATCACTTTCCACAGCACCACATCCTTGCACTGCTAGACACAGGCAAGATTTGTCAGGACAAAGTGTGCTGGAGCTCATGGTCCAGAGAGCTTATGGCAGATTTAAGAGTGCAGCAGGCCTGACAACAGGCAGAAGCTGCACCATCTCACAGCAGTGAGAGTTCCCAGCTTCTGCTGACCTCTAAACTTCACAGGAGCTGTGAGTTATTGCTTCTTACAGAGAAAAGATGCTGATTAGCTGTTGTCTATGGCACCCCACCTCTAATCAAAAGAGAAAATACCATCTGGCATGGCACCCTTGGAGGGCTGCCAACCTTTGCAGGGAAATATGAAAGTAAGAAAAGGTCAAGACGAAGGAAGAGGAGCAAAACAGGCAGAAAGATTAATCCCTGACAAGTGGTGGCAGCCCAACCACTAGAGTGCAAAATCACGGATGGACAGGCAAGCATGGAAGTGCTTAAGCAGGAGAAAGAACAAGAGACAGGAATGAAGCAATACTCTTCTGCAGAAGAGTTATGAGCAAGCTGAAGAGGTATTGGATCAGAACTGCAGACCAACTCCAGAGGAGCCACTTCACCTAAGCCTCATCCGATGCAGGCTTGCCCAGGCAGAAGTGGCATCACTGAGTATTACCTCTCTGGAGACTAGCGGTCTGGGAACAGCAACTAAGACTGGCAGTGGGCAAAAGCAGTTTAAACAGCAAACAGGAACCCAGGCTGTGAGGTAAGACTAGAGGAGCCAGCACCGGGAGGATGGCTCAACAGGCAGCACTGAGCTGAAAGAGCATCTTAAAAGGGATGCATCCTTTGCCTCTCCCAGCATTGTCACATGGGGAGTAAAAATAGGACAGCACTTGTTCTGGCAAGGTTTAGAGCCAGCTGCACATAGAGGCAGCCATGTCATGCTGAACATCCCCTTGCATTATTTGGGGTGAAGAGTTCATCAGTAAGGTGACAAGGGCTCTCCAGATGTCTGAATGTGTTCTTGTGTGTTCAGCTGGTACAGAGGCTCTGCAACAGATCCACACACCAGCAGTTCCAGGTGCACAGAGCCAGACTACTGCAGTGGCAGTACCGCTACTGCTTCACATTCTAAGAAAAGCCTGTTCCCTCCCACCACAGCCACTTGAACTTAAGCATCCGCTGGGACATTTTTCACTGCTAGTTTCCCGTATCCCCTGGAAGGGGACAGGTTGCTCAACATCTTTATTAGCCACAACACCACATGCACATAGCTGTGTGCCAAAGACAGACCACAAAGTTCATACCGCCAAGGCAAGCGTACCACTCCACATCAAGCTGCCTGCTTTTTAGCCTTGGGATAACTGGTACCTTCTGACTCCAGCCGGTCCAGCCCATAGGTTACAGCTGTACTGATCTTCCTCACAGATGGAAGAGCTGTCCTCCTGACAGAAGAGGTCACCAATGCTGGAGTTACCAGGACCACAGTTTTACTGGGTAGCTCTTCTGTCTGTCCAGGCTGAGTAGCAGGTAAACCATCAGGAGGTGGAACAGCCTTCTCACTAGTGACTGGAACCACATCTGTGAAATCTGTGGAAGACAGGAAGCAGCAGCAGTTTGGCTCAGCAATATTAAAACCATTTAAAAATGAACTCCTTAGTGAAAGCTTAGCTTGGAATGAAAGAAGCCATTAAACTCCTGCATCTTTTAAGAGGTGTAATAAAAGCTTTCTTTCCAGGACAGCCAGCACAGGAGGTCCTCCTTAATGAGGACACAGCCAAGTTTTGACTTCCATTGCTTTGAGGGCTGCTAGTCACTACCCCACAGCAAGATCAGCACTTGGCTAGATCAGCACTGAGACAGCGATCAAGTTCTGAACCAAGGGGAAAAAAATCTGGTTATTGCACAAATAATAGTTAGTTGAATTTATAATTAAATCCCAGAAGCAAGTTAACTAGTGGAAGCTATGGGAAAAGCCTTCTCTCCCCTACAGAGCAATCTTACTTTAAGAGATGTGATGCAAATGGAAGCCTTCTTCCTTTGATGCCCTGCAATATGTGAATCACCAGGAAAGCTCCACAGCAGCAGTGGTACCTGCTATAGAAATACACTTACACTCAAAGCTAGCCTTGTGCTAAGAGAGCTCTTGCTACACTCCTATTAAAAGGATAGTCTCCTACATGTACTTGCCAAGGTGACATCAAGTTAGCAAGCTGTTGCTGAACGGACATGACTCCTTCAAGTGTTTCCGTATGAGCTACAGCCTCACTGGAAGTGAGGGAATGAATGACAGAGACAAGAATTCACCACTGCTCAAGTGTAGCGGACATCTACACAGGCCTCCAAGCTTGAGGGTTTGATATTCGATTAGATTCTAGGAATAATCATACTTAGTGGTCCACATCCTATCCTACTTAAATTTTGCTCCTGCAGAATAAGCATCAGTCTACAACTACTGTCTTCGGCTCCAGAAGTCCGAGCTCTCGTTTGAGAAATAACAGCTCAGTTAAATGTCTACAGTTAGATGTTTTTTTTAAACTTTGTTAACAAAGAGGAGACTTTTTGGATATCTCCAATGCCATTTTGGGGCAAAAGTTATGCTCTGCTGGCATACTTCACAGTGAATCCAGCAGTGTGGGCAGAAAGCAGTGGCAGCAGAGCCAGAGCCAGCCTTCAAAAGGTCAGAAAAGTGCACATTAGAATATGGATGCTGTATGTTAAGACCTCAAAATACAAGCACTGCTTGTGGTTTTGATGTACCATATCTTCTATGACAAATAAGCCTGCAGAGAACTTGAAGCAGAACCCTACCTTCAACATCTGGAGTTTTTGCTGTAGAAGAGGTGTCAGTTGCTGTCAACATCTGGGTGGCACTAAGAACAGCTGGCATCTGAGTATCCTTCCTACCTTCCTCCCAAGGAAGGCTTGCCACTCCAGTTTCCTGGGTAGTAACAGGTGCCAGTGTCCCAACTGACAGAGCAGCATCAGCCTCCTGGGGAACCGTCGTCGTCATCTCCTGAGCAACACCTACAGGAAGAACATTGTCAGCACCAACTCACATTACAGCCAGTAGCTTATGATGAGGCAGTAGCAGAACAGAGGTTTGAACAAATGATTATGCCATGTATAGTATTTCCAGAGCCCTGGTACAAGCAGATCTAGCCAAGTGCTGTCAAAAGAGCCAGTGTAAAAGAGTGGCAGAACACATGTAATGGGAATGAAGAACTCTTCTGCTGCTTTCAGTTTATTAGTTGCTCCTTGGGGACAAGTAGACCCACTGGTGAGCACTGCCATGGGAGCACAAGACTGTAGACTTGTTGTGTGAAGTTCCACTCAGAGCAAGCAAAGCTGCCAGAATTAGGCTTTTAGGGACCAGATTTGAGAGAAGAGACAAGTTTCCTAGAAGGGTTTGTTTTCACTGCACAAGTCTTATTGTTAGCTGTTATTTTACAAACATCTGGGAGCAGCAGAGGGGGAACCTTTTGATGAGTCAAGGGATTATAAAGTAATCTATAAATTAGTCATTTCAGCACCAACATGCAGTTAGTTCCCCTTTTTGTTTTATAGGGAAGAATCTTTGATGTAGGGAAGGGAAAACTTTTCTCCTGCACTGCATCCTAAAGTAGTGATTGAAGATGTCCAGCAATTAGTCCAATGAAGTCCTAAACCATACCTAACACTCCTAGTCAGCCTAGGAACATGTTATTGCCCAACACCTACCCAGAAAGGGACTTCTATTTCCCCCCATATTTTAGACACAGAGTGGGAACATAGTCAGTGGGCTAAAGGTGCCCTCGATGCAGGTAAGCACAGTATGAGGTAACGCTATCAGCCTGCCACAGGCTAGGAGCAAGGTTTCAGTCTACTGGCAAATACACTTGTGGGAACAGCAGAGTCAGAGCCTGGCCAGTTTTGCTCTAGGGTGAACAGACATCAGGAACTCTTGTTACTACAGAAAAGACAGTACAGGGCTCCAGACAGATTTTTTATGACTCTACACAGATGGTCAGAGTTTATCAAGATTTGAGTCTCACTCACCAGCTACTGGTACAGATTACCTGTTCTTGGACTTAGATAGGATTTCCAGCTATCCTCTATCTTTAGATCTTCTTCACTGACTGCAAGTGTCTGAAGCTAGCAGTTGGAAAGCCAGGTGATCCCAGATACTAATTAATCCAGCCCACAGAAAAGAAGATATGTCCCTCCTTTTGTAACACTGCAGTTTAAGCTGGTATAAACTTTCCACCTTTGGGTTTTTGCACTCACTGTACCAAGACGACACCTGGGCTGTATTATAAGCCCAGGTGAAATCAGGTAGTCAGCTGATCAGAGGTTAGGCTCCCTTCCCAGGGAGCGGAGAGAAACAGCAGAGGGCTATTCAAAACAGATCCACATCTGCCTGGTTGAGATAAGCTATCCCTCTTACCTGTTGTACGAGCATCAAACCTGAAGTCCCTGCTTTAGCAGTATATGGCACACACAGAACTTAATATTGAAGTTAATCAAGTTTTTAAACTAGGATCAAGTCTCTGCTGATGAGATCTCAGCACGTTCTTCATCTCTAGACTCCACTGCCTTTCCAGTCTCAGTACTGCTATTTGCTACTAAAAACATCTTTTTTCAGTTCAATGAGGAGCAGAACAGGTAGGTGAGTAGAGAAGTGTTTACACAGTTCACAAGAGAGGAACTGCTCAGAGGAGCATACCTGCCTCTACACAGGAACATCATGCATATAGGAGTGCCCAAAACTGGTCAGTAGTTGAATGTGAATTAAGTGACCTGTTCGGACTATTACCTAGACAAAATACAGAAAACCTGATAGCTTTTCCTAGTCTGGGGGGAGGTCCTACCTCTACTGCAGGTATCAAGACCACCTTTGTACACTTTATTCCCCTGAAAGGTGGGAACAGATTCCCAGAAGCACCTCTCCTATATCTATATTCAAAGGAGAAAAAAACATTAACAGGCATGTTTTTACCTCTCAGTGAACTTCCCAGAGTAGGAAGGACATCAGCTTTTGTATCTGTCACCACAGCAGCCTCCGGCAATGACAGAGCAATGCTTTTCTCCTCTTCTGCTGTGACTGTGTCTGTCTTTTCCAGAGAGTTTAAATCAGATGTGTCTATTCCTGTCAAATTCACAGTGAGAGAAACATCATTGTGGCCTGTGGAAGCTACCGGCATTTCCTCCCCCTGTGCTGACACTGGATCTGTGCAGTTGTTTTCCCTAGTGGTCCCAGGAGCTAGTGGGGTGGATGCTGGGGATGGCAGCAGTCTTGTCACATCCTCTTCTTCCTCCACATCTCCCTGCAGCGTGGAAGACAGTTCTGTTGCCACTTGGTCCTCTTCCATCTCCTCATGCTGCATGTTTCCCCCTTGACTTATATTTCCTAGTTTTGTGTCATCCCAGTCAGGCAGCACAGAGACAGTTGGGCGGATGGCAACAGTGCTAGCCGTAACAGGCAGCTCTCCTTGCCTGCCCTCTGTTCCTGTTTCCAGAGGGAGGGAAGCCTCAGTAGATGCAAGAGGGTGTCTTGCAGCAACAGACCCCGGTGCAGTCAGTATCTGCAAAGGGCTCCCCATATTTGCTCTTGTTCCAGCTTCAGAGTCCACATTTTGAGGCTGTGGACTGGGGATGACAGAATAATCACTTGTCATTTCCAGACTGGGAGTGCTGGGGTGCAGAGTGGGCACCTGCTCACTAGGGAGCTGGGGTGCAGTTGAGTCATCCAAGCTACTCTCTGCCTCCTCTGCAGTTGGAACTGTCACAGAAAGCAGATTTGCTAGGAGGCTGGCAGAGCTACGCTCTACTTCAACACTATTCTCTGCAGTGGTCTTGCTAACAGGGCTACTGACAGATTCCTCCTCAATGGAAGGGTTCAGTGTGGTCACAGCTGTGGTTAGCATGGCCTTCAGCTCACCATTTTCATTCAGCTCCTTTTCTGACTTTGCAGGACCAGGTTCCTTCCCTTCTGTAGCTGTCACCACCACAGCAGGGCTGTAAACATCCAGGCTCTGACTGCCTGGGAAGATGTGACTTGGGCTTACAGGCTCTATTTCTCTTTCAGCAGTAAAGGCTTCACTTAAGGGCATCTCAGATGACTTTGAGACCCCAGACGGCTCTTCAGAGACTGCTCGCTCAGAGGGGTCCAAGATAGTTTTCAAGTTTGACAAGCTTGTCCTTTCATCTTCTACCCCGTTCCCTGCCCAAGGGCTGGGCTGGAGCTTCGTCATGTCCCTCTCCTCCAGTTTCTGAGATGCGAGGCATGGTACACTGGAGGACAAGAGCAGGATGCCGCAGGCAGCCACACAGATGTGAAATCCTATTGAATTACTCATAGCTGAGGAGAGATGTGTAAAGTTTGTAGGGCAAGAAGTCTAGAACATAAGACCTAGAAAGGGAAAAAAAGACCAAAATGATCATTATGGGTATGCATAATCCATTAACTTAGTGCTTTAACTGGGCAAGTTGTAGACATGCTAGTCTATGGTCAGTTCTGTGTAGATTCCCCCTATCCATCCTTAGGAATGGATCCCTATATCCCAGCTACATCTAATTTTATTCTTCCTAATCATGTGAAGCTTCATGCCAGCTGCAGACTGGCATTAAAAAAATTTTAATGCTGAAGCCCAAAACAGACCTTGCCAACCTCTCCCCTCAAGCAGCAGAATCTGGCACTCTACCCAGCATGCATCAAACCTGTAAACACGTAATTAGGATCAATCAGTTTGTTCTCTGTCATGTCACAGACTGTACTGTATGAGTTTTGTCAGGGACAAACCTCAGCTGGACAGCTGACCAGACTGAAGTCTCAGGCCCATTATGGCAAGTCCCATTTTTTCTGCACAAGTAATTCAGTTCCATTCTGCATCTATGCATAAGAAATAAGTGGGGTGGGCAAAACACAGGGACAAAGAGCCAGAACAGCTAGGCGCTAGAGGCTTTGTAGCTGCATTAGTATCAAGCCCTGCGTGTCCTCCTTGGCCCTACTGAAAAAGGCTGTAGCCCAGACAGTACTGGAAGTAGCACTGCTGCATTAATACAATGTTTATGCTGCACTGCACCATGGAGGCATTTCCAGAAAGTTATAATTGTTGCACTGCTTCAAGAGTTTCCAGGAGTGCTGAACCAGTAGCCCAGCAGTGATCCAGACAGCTGACAACCTGCTCTTGGCAGCCTTTGCCATCTCTTGCATCGCAGGTCAGGCTGCAGGCCAGATGGAGCACCATGCAGTGACAGCAGCCTGTTTCCAGCCATCTTCCTCTGGGCAGGTGGCTTTCAGCTCCTGGGCTTGTTATGCCATCCCACAACAGCAGTGGGCTGGGACTTGCCAGGCCCCACTGCAACACCTCTTGTTTACTCATTAGACACAGGAGAGCCACAAGTCTCTTGCACTAGAGAGATCTACCTTGCAATGAAGGGCTGCTCACCAAGGTCTCTCTCCCTGTTTTAGGAGGTGGTTTGCTAGTGGCCACAACTGGGCCCTATATTAAAAGCTTCAGATCAATAGCTTCACTTGCTTTGGCCAGTGCAACCCCAGTTTCATGGGAGAACTCCTCTTACCTTCAAGCTGCAGGGGATAACATGAATGAATAAGGAGAACAGCTGGAATTTTCAAAACCACCCCTCAGACTTCATGGAAAGAGACAAAATACCACCTTTTCAGTCTTGCTCACATGCAGTAGGATCAGTCATCTTCCCTTGGCTTGCTAAGCTTCTTGTTTCCACACTCCGACAGCATCCATGCATTACTTGCATTTGTATGCACACAGTGCAGTAGCAAGCTGCCTAGTACTGCTTTGCTACCCAATGGTGTATAATTCCCTCCACACCATCCCAGGCACTCACCTGATGACATGCAGGAGGTGACCTCTGTAGGGGGAAGGAGTCAAGTATTACATTTGTGCTAGTCCCCATCTAACACAGCCCTACCTGTTTCCTGCTGCCCCTATGCATGCTTTCTCTTTAGAAAGAGGTTTTATATGCCCAATCAGCTCAATACAATTGAAACATTAGAAGGTTTACAGTAATACATCTGGCCACATAGCTGTTTGTTTCTACTATAACACATGCCCCCTACTCCACATAGGGGACAAACTTCTCCAGCTGAAGGCCCTTGAAAGTCTACACTAGAGACAACCTTACAGATAAGGTATGCAGAAGACAACCTCAGCATTGGCAGCCTGGAGACGCACACAGGTCATTAGAGTCAATGCTGCAGGCTTCATTATCTGGTTGAGCCTTCAGGGCATACAGAGTCATTTTTTCCATTCTCCCTACAGCCTTGTCCCTTAGCACTTAGAGGGATTCACCTTCACATATCGCAGGCCACACACACACACCAGGTGCTCAGGCTTCAAATAAAGACCACCAAGAAGCTGTTCACCAGCAACAGCACAGATGTCTCCTCCACTTCAAGCATTTCTTCTTTGGAGGGTGGGTGGCCACCCATTTCTCTCCTGTATCCTCACTGCCAAGAGACAGCTGAAAGCTGACAATATTCAGCAATTCTTCCAGGCTAATCCCTTATGCACTTTTGCAATTAAAGAAGTACTACAATTATATTGTGTAAGTTAAATTACTAGTGCCTGATGACATGCATCTGCCTTGCTTTATGAATACAAATCATGTTCACCTCACTCACCCCTTTAGCAAGCACCTGTTAAGACCATTCAGACATCGCAAGACATCAGGAGAACAGCTTTTGCATTTGAAATAAACTGTTTGGTTAAGTCTGGATCAAAATACAGTGTTTCTAGAGGGAGTCAGATATTTATGATTATGCAAGAAGTTTTAGTAGAAGTAGTTAAACCCAAACAGAACTTTAGCTGGACTTGAAAGATAACCATAGCTTGCAAATGTATTTTTATGACAGCAAGAACACTACTATTGGAGAACCCAGAGCTAGAAACTCAAGACACTGAGGAGAAATACTAGGAGAAGTATTGAAAAGTCAAATCTTTCTCTTCCTTCCTTCCCCCCCCCCAAGTTTACTCCATCTCTACTAAGATCAAGGGTAGAAATGAGTAAGAGGGAAAGCTGCTTCCTAGAAGGCTGGCTCTTACTAGTCCATTAATTACAATGTAACAAAATAAGAACCTTTCTCACCTTTCCCTTCCAAAGCAGGACTTTCTCCCCTCTTGCTAATAGATGACATGGGTAATGTGCAGTACTAGCCTGATACAAACAGTTCTTGGAGTATCTTAGAGTGGCATTATGCAGCTTCTCCCAGCCTGAAGAATGCTGCAGTTCTACATTTGTAGAGGGCAAAATTAACATTGGAGAGAATTATTTGCTCAAGAAACCCACAACTAGATCTACGCTAACCTAAACCTCTGCATTCAATGCTATCTGAAGAGAGTGGCATAGAACCTGCTGCAGGGCAAGTGGCACAAGTTCATGTTTAAGCTTAGCAAGAGACTGGATTAAGTGGTGTATGAACAGTGGTGTCTTATCTTAAGGAGAGTTTAACACCTTGCTGTAGCATTTCTACTTAATGCTGAAGTGATTCAGGTTTCAGCCGCTGGTAGCTGGCTGCACAACAGTTGACTACTCATGCTGCACTGGGCCATGCACCTGTCCTCCTGTCTGGAGGATTTATAGGCTATCCACTCTACAACCTTAGCCAAACGATGACAACAAGCTGGAGCATGCAGCTCTAACTAAGCAACTCCTCTGTAGTAGGAGCACCTTTATCACCGGCTTGAAGCAGTGGAACAACCTAGAGTTTCCTGCTACAGGAGCTTCTTGTCCCCAGGCCTCCCCTGGCATTCTCCAGGCTAAAGCCCTTGGAGGACAGTTATCAATCACTGGCTAGGCCAGGGCGTTAGAAACAGCGCCAGCTACTTTGCCTGTACTGAACAGCAACAAAACCCAATAGATGTAGTTCCCCTCTCTGCAAAGGCAGCACAGCTGCAGATAGCCAGGAAGGTCTATCTTTAACACATGGGGGAAAAAGGTTCTTCTAATTCCAGGTGCACTGGAAGAAGTACAAGGGTCTGCTAAGCAACAAATGGGTCATGAGAAAGACATCTCTAGATGATGTCCCTCAGAATAAGAGCCATCTACTACTGTGGGCATGTCACCAAGCCGAGGGACAACAAATATTAATTGGACACCAGGTAAAGCAGTCCTGCTGACTCGCTTGGATCAGTTCTGAACCAGGCTGCTTCCTTTCTCCATATAATTAGCACCAGCAATAACTACCAAATCAATACTGCCTCTGAATTTTAAAGACCCACATGAAGGCAGCTATCAAGAAGTCTAATGAGAGCCAGTTTAGAAGGAATCCTATCATGTTAGGATTTTTTCCAACAGAGCACTTCTGAAGGGGACAAGGAGGGAACAGATCCTCCAGTGGGCCAGCAGTCGGTGGATACATCGAAACAGAAAACGAAAACTGTCTTCTCCATCCGAGCTGTATGTGACTATTCTCAATGACAGCTTTAAAAGGGTTTTGCCCAGCCAATTTCAGCTAATGAGAACGCCCAATAAAAGCCACTTACTGCTATTTTCTGCCTTAAGCAAGTTCTGGCCATATTTGAGGTGTTGAAACCGCAAAGGAAGAGCATCAGGCTTTCAACTCTCTTGAATTAATACTCTTGTTCTAACAATCCATCTCCCACACAGAGAGGGCACTTGTACTCTGAAGCCGAAGTGGCTGCATGCATCATATAGCTGAGAACACAGGAGATTAACAGGTCAGCTTCAGGCAAATCACTGTCTAGCCTTTGCAGGACATGGCTTTTCACACCTCCAAGTGCAAGCTTCATTATGCTAGCTTTGACTGGCTGAACAGTCTGAGATGTGCTCAGCACTACAATTTGTCTGTGATTGATAAGTGAAATGGACAAAAAACACTGCAAATCTTTTAACACAAAGATTTAGCCAAAACATACAAGTCAAGCAACTGCCAGCAATCAAATGCTATGGTACCAGCATGCTATTGCATGCTATCCAGGCTTTATTACTTGTGCTGAATACAAAAGCCAGCAGACAATGCACAATCTGACACTGCAGAGCTCCAACTCTTATTTCCATGCACAAGCTGAGAAAAATGCCCGCATTTCATCTTATATTATGTCCTTGCCCAGTCCAATCATGTGAATTGTAGAGCTGCTGCTCTTGCAGCACATGCTTCAGATAGCTCTAACTGGTTGACGTCTGTTTATCTCCAACAGCTTACAATGCAATCCCAACAATGACACGACTCCATGCCAGCCACTAATACAGCATGCATTGAATGAGCAGAACTGTGCAGACACAATTGTGCACTCAGGGGTACATCTTCCTCTAGCTTTGTGAGCAAGCCAACAAATGAGATATTAATATTCCAACAGGCTAACTCCCTACCAGCTCTGTAAGCACCTCTAATGCATAATATATAAGCCCCACTTTGAGCATTTCTGTTCCAGCAGTAGTTCTTTGAGAAGAGACAGACAGCAGGTTTCAGGCATTTATTCCCAACAATAAGCTCTAGCTTGCTTTGTTCAGCAACTGCACAGACGACCAGTGCAAATCCCTACTCAGATTTGCAAGTAAGGGCTGCACAGTTCTTCGCAGCTTCTGACCCGTGCCAGGTCCCTAGGACTATGGGAGTCAGAGGTCTGCAGAACTGGAGAGATTAACAGGCTGGGGAGGAGGGGTGTTCAAGAAGGAGGCCAACGGGTGTAACAGTTTTCTGATACCAAGAGCAAGGAAACGCTGTTCTCCACATCCATGCGGAAGAGACTAACAGCGTTCCAACTCCCAGGGGCAAGGGGCCCTCAGACACCTAACGTGGGCAGCAAACCGCACAACAGACACCCTAGAAGCCCGCAGGTCTCTATGGGTGAAGGTTTTAAGATCAGATTAAATAAGCCTTGCCGGGCTTTCTCAGGTGAGGTTGATCTTGCCTTTTGGCAAGGGAAGGGGATTAGAGATGCCTCAAGACTCAACTACATCCAGCACACCTGCTTCTTGGGTACAGATTCGTCCCATTGTTCCCCTTACTCACGTCCACTGGTTAGCTTAAAAAAATAAAGGGGAGAAGGGAAGCCTTTTATTACAGCTGCCCATCACTACGCCAGCCTGACTCCGATTAAACCCAACTGGGAGCGGGGAAGGAACAACCCCTTCAGCCCGCACCGGCGCCCGGTCACCACCCGCAGCTCGAGGCTGGGTGTCACCAGGACTTGCCCCTCGTAACACTTGAGTTTCCCCAGCAGAAAGAAAGGAAAAAAAAGAAAAATAACAATTAAAATAAATTTGAGCAGCCGGTTAACATCGTCAGACAGAGCGGGGACGCCAGCGCCTGGGCCAAGGTCAGCCCGCAGCACAGCCAGGACTAACCCGCCCCGGCCCCCCCCGAGAACAAA